CACGTTTCCCACAGACTGCACAGCGGGGAGAAACCGTACGTCTGTGACATCTGCGGCCAGGCGTTCGCTCAGTCCAGCACGCTGACGTACCACAAGCGACGACACACTGGGGAGAAACCGTACCAGTGCGACCTGTGTGGCATGTCCTTCTCTGTGTCTTCCTCTCTCATTGCCCACACACGTAAACACACTGGTGAGAGACGTGCAAATGAAAGGACACGCTGCTCTGGTTTCCTGCCGCACTGAGCAAATAGACTTTACAGACATTTTTCTGTATTTCTGTGCGTTTCAGGCGAGACTCCGTACAAATGTTCGCAGCCTAAATGCGACGCCAAATTTGTCACGTCATCTGAACTGAAGAAACACATGCGGCGACTTCACCCGGGTGAGTTTAAAGCTTTGTTTGTTACGCCAAACATTTCAGGAGTGGTTCGATGGGACTGAAAGTCACCAGTATCACACCAGGATCCTACTGCTAACTGCGGCTGTCTTTCAGGAGAGCTCATAACCTAAAATGTGCTTTATTGACATAATGAATGAATGAAGTGAGTTATAAAGAGAAAGCTCTCAGCTCCACACAGTTTCTGACCAATCAGGGTATAAACAGAGAGCCAGAAACCGATTGGCTGCGGTATTTAAATGTGTTCTCGTGGTGTTTGCAGAGGGGAACAGCGGCGTGCAGTGCCTGCTCTGTGGAAACAGATTTGCCAGCGTGAAGAACATGATCAAACACCAGGACAAAGCTCACGCCGACGAAGTGCGGCAACACAAGGAGAGAGCCCGAGCCGGTGAGCTGTCAGCCTGTTTATTCAAACCCACTGTGTCTTAAAGTGCTGTTAAAGTTTAATTGAATAAGAGCCCTGAAAGTGTTTTGGGACGTGTTGATCTTCTTGCAGCTTCAGTCAGAAAAAACACGCCTCAGTATCACTGCATGATTCAGCCCTGAGGCTGGAAGCCCACATGTGTTTACATGTGCATCAGTATCCTGTTTCGCATTAGCTTTTTGAAGTTTCCGTGTCCTGTGCAATAAAGCAGGATGCTGCAGCATGTAAGCATCCCATTGTCTGCAGCGTGCAGGCTACCTGCAGAGGCACCACTTAGACCAGCAGCAGAAACTTCCTCTCTGGCAACAGAGGAAGTGCCTAATAGAGGAAGTGAATTCAGTGTCTTTTTTGGGGGGCGGGGGTTGCTGACCAAGTCAACACATTAAAGGCGTCAGTTTCTGGAGATTTTACATCTCTGTGCCTGTACGCTTCAGATATGTGGGGTTATTCTCCATCTTTAAACCAACGTGGCAGACTTCAGTATGTAGAGTCAGTGGAGAGTTTGAGGTCGAGCTGTGATCCCAGTGA